CATACTCAAGTCCTGACTTGAGCATTGAGTAGAGTTCTGGAATACGACCCTATGACGCGGCTAGGTGAAAAATGGTCAAACATTCATTTTAAATAGCGAAAGATAGAGCACAAAATTGTCTTTTAAAAACAGTTAAAATTAGTTAACGTGCACGACTTATCGGAGCTGAATCTATCGATGCATAGCTGAAATATCATTACACAATTTCAATATTAAAAACTGGGTTATTGTTTTATATGACATATCAAAAAAATATTTTGTCCTTAGCCATTGACTTACAATTATATGGACGTCGGGTCCGCGCTAAAAAGTGTCCGCACTTGTAAGGCGCTAAAATCGTATACAGAGCGCCAAACTCCGCTTTAGTCTTCGTTTGTTCTACTGACAGCGCGATACTGTGATGACATTACAATTTAAATTTCGTATAGGTTGACTTGGGACATTTTTTTCGTGGTTTTTGTATTAGACCCGTCGTCCATTTATTTGTAAGTCAATGTCCTTAGCAGTGTTTTTAGTTGGCGGACGGCAGAGTACTTTCCTGGACGAAGCTTCTTGTTGTCTTGTCTTCTTGTATTGTTTAGATCGAACCGGATTCTACTAGATAGTTTAAATCTATCTTCACGCTTAATATCAGGTCAGATTCCTATCAAACCGACCTCAAAAGTTATATTGAAATTGGTTACCGGAAAATACGCGACACCGGATTCATCCCCTAGTTTGCAACCCTTAGAAATGGAATATTTTCTTCAAAATTAACTGGGTCCACTACCGAGGTATCCTCTTTCCAACAAAACAAGAATCATCAAAATCGGTTTACGAGTACATATAAAAAAAAAACCACAATCGAATTGCGAACCTAGTAAGAAACCTGTAATTTAACCTGTAAACTGCCTCCGTGGCCGAAAGGTTATTATGCTGGACTGCCACGTAGAAGTTTGATTCCCAGACCGGGAGAAACATGTGTATAGCGTACATTTATTTCTCGCGTGTGTCCATGGCACTCGCGATACAGGGTTTCCCTAGTGCGGGGCTAGGAATGTGTTGCGTTATCATTATTACAATTAGTGGGAATAATTTTCTATGATTCTTTGTAATTTATGTATTTTGCATGTCAAACAAAACCGATTTTACTTATTTTTTTCTTCCACAGAATTCGAAGGTGAAAACCTACTCCACCAATCAGGAACCTTCTTCTCCGGCTTCGAATCTTCCTCCACCGTGGCAGCTTTCACTCTACTAGAACTGTCTAGAAGTACCAAATATCAAGAATTAGCAAGAATAGATATCTTAAGAGCTATAGAGAAAAACGGTTGGATCTATGAGAGTTTCAACGACATGAAATTTTTGGATCAGTGTATTGCAGAAAGTGTTCGCCTGCACCCTCCAGTTTCCACTGTGGACAGGCAAGCAAAAGAAGACTATAAGGTGCGGTGATAAAGTTTATTATAAAATTGTGGCTAATAATAATTAACTTCATATCTTCATAGACCTAACTCCCTACCATTTCCTGGGCAGTGCTATCCAGAACAAAAGAGAAATTATTAACGAATGTTTGTTAGTTTGTTAATTTTTACCGCCCGTGCTACATACAATGTTTTTCTTCACATTTGCGAGGAAATAGAAACAACGATAATTTATTTTTTGTACCTTCACAACATAATTTACGGATTTTGCAATTGGTGGTTTTTTAAAACAGATTGCCAGCTATTCTTCCATAGACAGTAGAACTCGAACTAAAATGTTATAAAGGCACAAACGCATGCAGTCACGATTTATTGGATGCAAAATAAATGAAATGATGAAAAAAGTTGACCTCACAATTTTTTCAATATGCTTATTGTCGGATCTTTGTATTCGGTTTTCAACGACTTTTTGGACGTAGAGCCATCTATGAGAAATCTATGAAAGAGCCATCTATGAGAAATCTATGAAAGTATTTCGTCACGCAGTTAGGTAACTTTACAGCTACCAGCCCTGACTAAAAATGTCGCTACTAATTTTCTAAGTGTTCAATCTTTGTATTAATAATTATAAGAAACTATATAGTGGAGCAATTTCACTAAAAATAATTGAATGTCAATTCATTACAAATTTTATTGCAAATGTTTATCTTTTTAATGATACGTTCAGATTTTTCGAGTATAAAAATCTTTTCTGCTTTAAAAAAATTATGGGGCGATAATATAATGACAAAACTCGTGTGTATAAACTAGGATATTACTACGTCGACTTTTTACGAGTTGTTTAACTTTTGAGCAAGAGTGATGAAATAAGTTTTAATCGCACGCGTCACATGTCAAAAGGTCTTTTATCTTCTTGTGTTTTCGCGATTGTTACACATAGGACATGAAACTATTTTTCCGGATTTAAATCGCGTATATTTGTTTTTTCAAACAAACCGACGCTTCGGGCCCTTTACAGGTCAACTTACATGGTCAACCGTGACAATGGCACCTGTAGTTAGTAATAGTTTCATTTCCTATCTTTTATCTTGTTACCTGGTAATTAAGTCTTTAAATTTCATTTTAATTACAGATACCTGGTACAGAAGTAATAATTGAAAAAGGTACAGCCATCTACATATCTCTATATGGACTGCATAGAGATCCGAAATACTTCGACAACCCGGATGAGTTTGATCCAAATCGGTTCAATGGAAAAGCTCTTCCTGACGCTTACATTCCTTATGGCGCTGGACCTAGGATGTGTGTTGGTAAGTATTTTATATTACCAAGTGACGGAAAGAACAAATCGTGTGCCTGGTGGAAAGCGAGACGCTTATATCCATAACATTTGCAGTGACACTCAGAGCTTTAATTCGCGAAGATCTAACGGGCACAACCACTGCGTCCATCATCCTGAGACATAATTACGTTGACAAGTACCTATAATTATAAACCCTTTAAAACTGGAACGCGGTGTGATGATGTGACCTTCTTACTTACAACGTCATCCCACCTTTTCATCGCCTCCGGTTCCTGGCCATTTGTTTTTAAATTTTGAATCGTTCTTTAACAATACCTTTGTCTCGCCATTCTAACTTTGTTTCCATTCCTGTCCGATCGCGGCAGCGAACACGTCTTCTCGTTATTTACCAAAAATCTCTTATGCGATCATTGACTTACAAATAAATGGACGACGGGTCTAACACAAAAACCTCGAAAAAAATGTCCCAAGTCAACCTATTTAAACGTAGTGACATGTAAAGGAATATGAAAAAGCTAAAACGTTGAATTTAAATTGTACTGTCATCGCAGTACTGTCTAATTTTGCTTGCTTCGCTGTCAGTCGAACAAACGAAGACTAAAGCGTGAATGACGCTCTGTATACGATTTTAATAAATATAAATAAGAGCGCAAGAGACGCTCAAGTTCGGACACTTTTTAGCGCGAACCCGACGTCCATATAAATGTAAGTCAATGTATGCGATAAACATTTTAAAGGTCAGAAATATTAATAAAACGGGAATAATATTTATAAAACTGGATTTATTACCACTATTTCTTTACCCTTTTGAATTTAAGCTAGATGTATGGAAGCTGCGGAGTCTACTGCTTTCCTGCCACATTCAATCTACAGAACATTCCAATTATCAGCAGTAATGCTCACGTTACTGCTTAGAGGCAGAATTAGATGGTCGTACTTCCCTGGACAAACGCTTTTACAAGGAGCTCGACTGCTGCTACGTCCAAGGCCTTTCTGGCTCAGTATAGCCGTTTTCGCCGGGTTTCATTCCGACGAGTCTAAAGGTGTTAGTCACTTGAGCAGTAGAGAAAACTGTTCTTAAGGCGAAGCATCGTATTCGAAACATCAAATTTCTACGATAACGACTGTCATACATTTAATGTATTGTATCGCGTAATTTTTTAGTAGCAATAGAGCTCCTTGCGAAAGAGTTCGTCGTTCAGGGATGTACTGCCACCTTACCTGCTACAGCCGCCAAGCGATAATGTCGCTATTACTGTGTTCCGGTTTTGAAGGGTAAGGGTGCTGGTGAAATTACAGGCACGAGGGACTTGTCAACTTATGTCTCTGGGTGATGAGCGCACACGTGTCCTTTTACGATTTAAAACTTTGAGTGGCACTGCAACTGTTATGGACAGGCGTGTAGCTTACCACCAGGCAAGCGACTTGTTCGTCACGTCACTTGATACTATAAAAAAAATTTTTTTTTGAGCTACCAACTCTTGTGCCACCAATTCTTATGCTACTAATTTATATGCCACCAACTGTGTGTTACTAATTTTATATTTTTCTTAATTGGCCTATTTGTCTGGCACTTTTAACGCCTTTCTTTTCCTCACAACAAGCTCTACAGCTTCTAAAGTAAACTACAAATTTTATTTTAAATAGAAAACTACCGTTAGACTCAGACATATAAATTAAACTAACGGATAACCATTGACTTACAATTATATGGTCGTCGGGTCCGCGCTAAAAAGTGTCCGAACATATAGGGCGTAAAAATCGTATACAGAGCGTCATTCACGCTTTAGTCTTCGTTTGTTCGACTGACAGCGAAGCAAGCAGAATTAGACAGTACTGCGATGACATTACAATTTAAATTCAACGTTTTAGCTTTTTCATATTCCTTTACATGTCACTACGTTTAAATAGGTTGACTTGGGACATTTTTTTCGTGGTTTTTGTATTAGACCCGTCGTCCATTTATTTGTAAGTCAATGCGGGTAACTCACATTTAAGTACAATTTTTGCTCGAGACAGTCCGTGGTCTGTAATTCCGAGCTTCTGAGACGGTGTCTCGTCGTAAACTGTGTGCCAAACCTCTAACACGCCGGTCATTCAGTACGGGTGCAAATTTTATGGCGGAATTTACTTCACACGCTTCGTGTTTCTAGGTGTGAAAGCCGGACAGCTGCACGCAAAAGTGACAGTCGCGATGATACTGTCACAATACGAAATCTACCAAAGTGAAAACGTAGTGACCGAGTTGGATTCAAGATCAACGTTTACAGCAGCATGTGACGGGATACGGATGGAATTTAGGAAAATTTAAACAGATCCACCAAAAGTTAGTAACATACCACTAAGTATAAGCCGACTTTCAAGGTTGAGCACAACCTCACACGATGAACTCGCACCGTTAGTATAATAATGCCAATACAAAATGACAATGAGGCATTGAGAATCTTTCCGATGACATGTGAATTGACAGAGAGCGAAAGGTGTTGGTTGTAAGGTGCATTATGTTGTACAACAAGTTTGCACGGTGTACTAGAGCCGTAAGCTTACGCCTTTTAAAGTGTTTTGCCAATCCTTTTACACGTGTAGCTTGTGGGTCAAGTGCACACAGAGAGCTATCTTTAGTCTTCTTTTTAGTACCTTTCACAGTGCTTGGTCTAGCGTCTAGCGTTTGTTATCCTTTCGACCTGTGGATCTTCCCGCTCGTTGCCGCTTCGGCACTGTGAAAGGGAAGATGCCAACTCTGAATGAACCCTATTTAAGCTGGTAGCGTCCCTGAAGGCGGCGACTCCACCAGAGATGTGCGAGATAGCTAGGCTGTGTGAAAAGTCAAAATCAAATAACAATTTATTCCATAGGTACATTTTTTACACTTGAAAATGTCTTTTTTTACGAGGGAGCATACCAAAAAAGTTTTGATGTTGGCTCCGCCCAAATTTGTGAAACAAATATATGCCTGAAGTTCGCGTGACATGCGACAGGAGATGTTGAATTTTGCGCATTAAAAGTACCAAATTCGTTTTAGCGGAATAACTCTAAAACTAAAGGGATTAAAAAAAATCCGTAGTGACAGTTGTCGATCATGCATAAATATAATTAATTATCTAATTTTTGTCCTAATAACCTAATTTCGAGGATAAATCGAAAAAATATGAAAATTAGAGGTCATTTCGGAATTTTTATCTATCGAGGAAACTTTATTGTTTTATGTTTCTGATAAGTGTCTATGCTTGAATATATCGTGTAGTTACTCATACAATATTTTATTTTTAACTTTAAAGTGGATATACCCCTCTAAAATCAAATCAAAGGTTAGAAATTTTTCCTCTGCTCCCTCTTAAGCTACTGCTCGTTCACTACGTTGACCTCTCTGAGAAGAACGAGCAAGAAACTCGAGGGATTGCTCTTTTCAAATAAAGTTAAATGCTATACACATTTTGAATCATAATCGTGTGGAATCAGACTCATGTTGCCTTTTCATACATCTTTATCTAACAAATACTCTTCAATTTTGTAATTTGACTTTTCAATTCAAATACTTTATATAAGTTTTAAACTTAGGAAATTATAATCTTAATATATAGGTACTCCGGAATCTTATTGTAAAAACGTATACAGTTCTCCCTAAAAGAATGGTGTACCTACCTTAGATAAGCAAAATCGTGGTACCATGAGTTTGTACTTAGTTCTAAGGTTAATTAATATTATGGATATCTTCTTTCTTAATGAAATTATGTATATTTTTATGGGCACACAAAATATTTGAGTAATTGTACTGTGAGAGAAACCACGGTACGCAGAAAGTAAAACAAAGCGAAAAAATCCATCAATAAGATTACTTCATTTTCCTTGCCTCATTTAGCGCAGCTCTGGTGGAAAAGGCTAACGAAGTTGAAAGTATTAGTACATACAAAAAAGCGAGAGATGTGTGCGAGAGACGCAAGCGAGGAATGTGTGCGAGAGACGCGAGCGAGGAATGTGTGCGAGGTACGCGAGCTCGCCGTCGCATCCGCTCACCCCACCACACCGCACCCCACCTGCGCACAGCTGAAAAGAATCCGCTACCCATCCTCGCCTGCTTGACAACTTAGCTACCCATCCTTTCACTATTTAGCTACCTCGCACAGGTTTGGTGGAAACCATAGATATAGAAAAAAGGGTGGAAACCATCACACCGTTTCACAGCGTCGCTACACATCCTCACACTGTTTAGCTACCTCGCACATCTCTGGTGGAATCGCAGCAGATGCGTAGGGCGCGAGGCAGCGCCAACGGCCTCCTTCGGGCGGTTGCCCAAAGGGGATGATGGGCCAATACTGTGTCAAAGGCTACCTGTATGTCAAGTGTGTTAGAACTGTCCTTAGATAGTACGAAATGTAGTTCACCGTTTGTGAGCTTTACTATATACTTTATAAGGATTAACTATCACAATATGGATATTTGTCCGAAATACAGTAAATTATCTATTATTATTATGTTTTATTTTTCTCAGCCTGTTGGTTGATTTTAACCACACTTACATACCGAAATCAAGTATTTATTTATTTTAATTTTTTATTGAATTGATATTCAATTATTTTTTGTGACATTACTCCACTAGTTTGTTATAATTATTAATACAAAGATCGAACACTCAGAAAAAATTCTTTCGATCCCACATCACAAAAAAATAATTGAATATCAATTCAATAACAATTTCAAATACAGCGAATAGCGACATCTCTCGCCAGGACTGGTAGCTGTAAAGGTACTAACTGGGTGATAAACCTGTCATAGATTTCTCATAGATGGCGCTACGACTAAAAGTCGTTAAAAAACCAAATACACAGGCGTTATTTCCAAACAGACAAAGACAAAGAAACTTTATATAAATAAAAAAATTTAATATGAAATTAGATGTAGTATAATTTGAGAAATCGAATTAATTTATTTTATTCGTACTTGTAATTATAACATTTGAAGACGCTAACGAATGCTTTTAATTATGATTTTGCTAGTGTTCTTTAAAATAAACCACCGAAAAACGCAATTCCTTTTCAAGCGTAATTTTGGTCATGTTTGTTCTTAAGAGGGAGCATGCCAAAAAAGATTTGACGTTGGCTCCGCCCAAATTTGTGAAACAAATATATGCCTGAAGTTCGCGTGACATGCGACTGGAGATGTTGAATTTTGCGCATTAAAAGTACCAAATTCGTTTTAGCGGAATAACTCTAAAATTAAAGGGATTCAAAAAAATCCGTAGTGACAGTTCTCGATCATGCATAAATATAATTAATTATCTAATTTTTGTCCTAATAACCTGTAGCATTTCGAGGATGAATCGAAAAAATGTGAAAATTAGAGGTAATTTCGTGATTTTTATCTATCGAGGAAACTTTATTGTTTTATGTTTCTGATTAATGTCTATGCTTGAAAATATCGTGTAGTTATTCATACAATATTTTATTTTTAACTTTAAAGTGGATATACCGCTCTAAAATCAAATCGAAGATTAGGAATTTTTCCTCTGCTCTCTCTTAATTTTTCACATAGTGCGTCTGTAAATACAAAAGTACCTAAGTGATAATGTAGAATAGTTTCATTGAAGATAGATGAAATACGTATTCATACATAGTAAATTTATGTAATAACTGATTCCTAGCATATAATAAATAGTATCGTATGTGACCATTAGATGGCATTGTATTGTATAGAATATTGGTGACAAATAGATCACGCTGTTCACAATTGCATAATGTTAAATTGCAATATCAGTTGAATTCGAAGGAAAGGTGTAATATGTTTTATTGTAGATAGTTAAAATAATTATTCACACTTATAATTTTAAGTATTGGAATATAAAGAGTATTCATTTTTACTTAATTTTCTCATCAGCCAATCTGCGGCAACAAGTAGGGTTGAGTGGAGGGACGAGGTGGCGGAATCGGCCGGTGCTCAGTCTAGTGATGTGCAAGATTCCGAAAGGCTAGACGAGTGAGACTCCTTTTTATGTAAGTAAAATTACTTGCATAAAAAGTTTAAGGGCACGTTCAAATTAGTCGCTGGCAGCTGCGGCGGCGGCGTGATGGCCGCGCGACTGTCACTTTTCATACAATTCTAGACGCGCTGCAGCAGCGCGACTGTCGCGCGGTCGCCGCGCGGTTGCAGCGCTTCTAGAAATTGTAAGAAAAGTGACAATCGCGCGACCGTCTCGCGGCTAACAGCGGGTAATTTGAACGCGCCCTAAAGGAGTTTAAAAATCACATCACAGTACAGTGTTATAGTGTAGTTATATAGTGGTTGTGGAATAGTGTAGTAAAACAAACAAACATGTTTTAATTGAGCAATGCTCTTTGCTCACACTGTGACGGTGTGACCTCCTTACACCGTCATCACACCTCTTAGTATCGCCTCTCTCCGCTTGTATCCTATCATTTTTTTTTTATATGTATTTAAATTTTAAATTTGAATTGTTCCATCTTCCTTCACTTTCTCATTTTGTTTTCGTACCACGGTCACTCCCAGCTCGACCGCCACAACAGTCGGAGCTGTTAATAAGCTAATCATGTGTAATAATTTATAAGTCTACAGCCTTTATGTATCTATTTCTGTAATTCAGTTTCTCGGCCCATTTAGGGGTAAGTGCCCTAATAATAAAGTGTAGGGAGTGTTTTATACTGTTATACCTGTTTTTATACATTTACCTTTATATTGTTACAGCCTTTCTTTAAACTTTATTTCTTTAATAAATTTTGTGGACCGGAAGTTTCCCATTTCATTGCCGTGAACCTGTTCACGGCTAGTTAGGGTTACAACCCTTTCAACACCTTTTACTTGTTCACTTATAAGTACAGGGAGCTATAGGTTTAGTAATAAGTTAAATGTATTTTTATTTTATAATTTGCATAAGACTGTTTGTTCCTCAATAAAAAGAAAAAAATAAATAAAGCGATTGTACTATATTGTTATAACGCGTGATCAGTAACCGAAAATATAGTATTAAATCTTATCAACTTGGTGTTATTTCACGTCCACGAAGAGTGCTGCAAAAATAAACAACAGGATTGAGGATAATATAAAAAAGAACTGATAATTGTTTATATAACAAGTTGTTGAAAAATTACGCAGTAGTATAATTTGTTGTTTATAAAGCAACTGTTATTGCTTCTCTTAATTTTTGTCCTATTTTCCTCATGAATTGATTTCAAAAACAATCGTTAGTGTAGCGACTAACTCAAAATTCAAAACTCAATATAATCTTTATTTTACACGTAAGCAAATTATACTTGAAATCATCATATTGATTAAACTTTATTACTCATAGGCAGATTCCCCTGAGAAGAACGAGCAAGAAACTTTAACTAGTTGCTCTTTGTAAATAAACATTTGTAAAAAAAAAATTTTTCTTCATAGCCGCTTCCTAATTTTATTAGACAGTAAGTTAAAATATACAGGTAAGGTACAATAAAAGGTTAAATA